CCCCCCAGACGCTGTGCAGTCACGTGCGGCGGCAGTTGTGCAGCCTCTGTGCCTGAGATCCCGGCGCGGTTCTCCTCCCTCACTGCCTGCAGCCCTGGGAGCCCCGAACTGCCGGGTTCGCCCCGAACTGCCGGGTTCGCCCACAGAACTTTCCCTCCCTTCTGCCCCAGCGCCTGGCTCTGGCCCTTGCTCCAGGTGTCCCGCTCGGGGCCGCCCTCCTCTCTCCTGCCAGGGGCGTGGTGGCAGATCTGACCTCCTGACTTTGAAGCTCCGCCACACTCCTCTCAGTCCAAAGACTTTCCAGGAGAATTTAGTACTAAGTTCAATCAGCGTATAGCTGGAGTGAATTTAGCAAAGATTCCCAAGCATTTATGTGTGACGGACAGGTCAAAACCACTTTAGTTCCAAATGACTTGACATATAACAGAGGACAGCCGTAGTATGGGCTGCACAGAGCTCCATCTCTGCTGTTTTTGTTTGTTGAGCCAACATAAGATCCACACACCAGCTGTGGACGTAGAAATGACTGTGGTGTGGAGAGCTTGTTTGCAGAGACTGACGTCGGTTTGCAGAAAATGTAGTTCGGACACTAGCATTCTCCTCCTGAAACACGGTGTTCTTTACCTGCAGTCTTCAATAATTTGGGATATAAAACCAAAGATCTAAAAGACGGACTTTTTGTTTAACTTAAATTTTGAGAGTTCTTTTTTAAAAAGAATTATTTATTTAATTTTACTAATTATTCTTATTTTAAAATTTACTACCAGACACATGTGCTCATCGGAGAGAGACAGAGAGAGACAGAGAAGGAAAGTGAGAAAGCAAGCTGCCAGGTCTGGGACTCTAATTGCAGTCAGCCATGTGGAAGTCCAGTGCCTCAACCACCACGCCACCTGCTGGCGCAGGGTTCTTTTAAAAAAAATTACATGTAATCACTGTACATCCTACCAGTGTACAACTCGGTTTTCCCAGCAGTGAAGATAGTACATAGAAGGCAATTCATAGACATTGCCATATACATTGTCTTCAACAGAGAACTTTTAATTTTCGTGTCTCTTAAAAGTTTTCTTTATTTCTTCTTTATATCCTCTAGATACTAGTCCTTTTTCAGATAGATGGCTTGCCAATACTTTCTCCTGGTCTGTAGCTTGTCTTCTCACCCTCTTCACTGGGCCATTCTCATGGCGAATGTTTTCGACTTTGATAAGGTTTAATTTATCCAATTTTCTTTCATGGATGCTGGTTTTGGTGTTGAGTCTAAGAACTCTTTGTGTAGTTCTAGATCCTAAAGATTTTTTTTCCCCTTATGATGTTTTCATCTCAAGGTTTTATCCTTTTACATTTAAGTCCACGATCCATTTTGAGTTACTGCTTGCAAAAGGCGTGAAGTTTAGGTAGATTCACTTTCGTGCTCATTGATAAAAGACTACTTGGAAGTGCATCTTTATTTTTTAAATTATTTCACTTCTTTCTTTCTTTCATGAGAGGTAGGGGTTGTTGGGAAACAGATACCCTTGATGGTCTCGCCACACTGTGATGCTATCCCAGCCTCCCAGCCAGCCAGGGTCACAGATGAGCTTGGGCATGCCTAGCATGTTCAGGTTGATGTGGGATTCAAACCTGGGTCTCCCATGTGGCTCTAGCATCATGCAGCAGTGCCCACCTACCTGTGTCACCATGACTGGGCCTAGAAGCTCATCTCTGGATATGTTTATCGTGCTTTCATGTTTTCCTTTGTACTAACCCTAAAATAAAGATGAAAATTCCTGGACTGATTCGTTTTCTTTGGCCCTTCAGTATCTATGGAAGGTCTCCAGGTGGATCCAGATAAGGAATAGAAAACTTTCATATTTTAAGTGTTAAATTTCTTTGCCAAATTTCTTGATGAAATGATCCAATGAATGCAAGATTACTAATCACAGATATTTCATTTAAACATATTCCTGCATATAATTACAGAGAATCACCATGATAAGACTATTCTCCTGTCACTCCGCAAGCCCCATAAAAAATTGTAAATTCAAGTAGAGATGCCGATTCATTGCGAAATCCAATAGAAGCAGTCAACAGCTCTCATGATTTGTGTTTATAATACTTTGGCAAATATTTATGTTTATTTGAAACTATCTCATGCATATGCAAAACTTTTGGTGATGTGATTTATCACAATTGTTGATCTGTATGTGTTAAACCATCCTTAAATTCTTGAGATAAATCTCATTCAGTCATGGTGTATAATCTTTTTTTTGAAGTTTTATTATTTTTTCTTTTATATTATTTTTTACATTCAATCACTGTATATCTTTACAGCATACAAAATGAATTTTCCCACATGAATACATTGTGTATTCATCCAGTCAAAGATATATACATTATCATCAACAGATAATTTTCCATTTTTGTGTCCCTTAAATGTTTTACTTCAGTTTTTCCCCTTGATTCTCTCTTCTCACCTCGTCTTCCCATTTCCCACTTTTGATCTGTTGGACTGGTGTGCTAGCACTTCCTAGAGAGTTTCTGTATCCATCTCCATCAGTAATATCTGTCGGCAGTACTTGTGTGTTGTCTGGTTCACTAGCCCTTTAGAATGAGTTTGCAAGGGTTCCTTCCACTTTTTTTTTTTTTTTGGAGAGGTTTTGGCTATAGGGCACGTGCGCTTGCCAGACATTCGGAGAGAGACAGAGAGACAGAAAGCGAGAAATCACTCCCCCTGGGGTGGGGGGGGATGGCCATGCCACAATCCCTTCTCCTCCATTCTCCTCTCAGGATCTTGGGCATGCACGTACACGCACCCAGAGTGAGTTTTAAGCCACCGGGTCCAGGACGTGAACCACAGTCGACTACATGGGAGTCCAGCGACATAGCCATTAGGCTAACTGCTGGTCCCTTCCACTTTAAAAAAAAATTGAGGAAAATTGTTATTAGTTCTTATTTAAAGGTTTTTTTTTTTTTTTTTTCTTTTTTCTGAATTCAGCAGAGATTTCTTTCATTTGGTCCTGGGCTGTTCTTTGTTGGGAGATTTTTTTATTATTGATTAAAACTCATTATTCATTAGTACTATATTCTGGTTTTCTGTCTTTCTGGTTCAATATTGGGAGATTATAAATGTCCTGTAACTATATCAGCATAGAGGAACTGCTTAGCCTGACAACACGGTGGTCCAGCGGATCCATCAGACATGGTTTCTTTACTCTCTTATGCTCCTAGGGTACGGTTATGGCATTTGTAGGCTTGGAGGCGAAGAACTGAAGACAGCTGGTGCTGGAGAGAGGACCTTTATTTTATTTATTTGGCTGTTAAAGAGGTTTTTGCTATAGGGCACATGTGCTTGCCAGAAAGACAGAGAGAGACAGAGAGACAGAAAGCGAGAAATCACCCTCCAGGGAGGATGGCCACGCCGCAATCCCTTCTCCTCCATTCTCTTCTTGGGATCTTGGGCACGCACGCACACGCGACTGGTGTGCGTTTAAGCCATCGGGTCCGGGACACGAACTGCGGTTGATTACACGGGAGTTCAGCGACATAGCCATTACGCCAACTGCTGGTCCCAAGGACCTTTATTTTTGATTATGGCAGCGTGCTGTTTTTATAGCACAGCACAGTAGTAACTGATCTCCCCTTCTTCCTGGATGAGCGAGCTGATGATTCAATATGGATGTCAGTATCCGTGAACATACCCAAGGGAGGGTGTTCGACTCCTGCTTCTGTTTGAAATGATTCTATGTTTAGGTTGTGAGCCAAAGCTTCCAAGCACTACTTGGCATCTCCTTTGTCCCATGGAGCTCTCACCATTCAAACATGACAGATCTGAGAAAATACTAGTTAGGCTGAGTCTCGCTAGCCTCTGCCTGGTCATCTTTATATGAGTCCAATGGTTTGCTGGTATTTTGTTGTTGTTAGTGAATATTTTTGTTTCTTTTTACTTTTTTATTTAAATGGTTATTAGCTGATATTCATGAAGAGCAGTGAGTACCTAGAACTGTGCTGCTACTGAAAGGAATCCTATCTAAGAGAGCACATTTCTTTACAGAGCTGTGTCATACCATCCTTGGGCCCTCTGCTGGGAAAATAGAATCAAGTCTCAAATAAGTGCCTTTGCAATTGTACCCTCTAGTATCACAGATGCAGGACCATGCTGTATCAGACCTCTGTGAATGTGGATGCCCGTACCTGCTTTACGGTACGTAGTAGTGACG